CCATTGTGGTAGGTTCCTGTTAGAGATGAAAACCAGCCCTCTTCCCCTAAAGAATTTGTAACCAGGTGGGAGAGAGGAGTGAACCAGCACTCACTCACAACGCAGCTGTGAGGATAGACGTGTGCACAGCTGCCACGAGAACTCCCCAAAGGCACCTGTTCTGCTCTCCGCTCAGGGCAAGTGTCAACACTTGGGGAAAAAATATGGGAGTAAGATGGAGTTGAAGGAAAGGGTCTCGCAGCCAGAGGAATCAGTCTGTGCAGGTCTATAGTGTGGGTAATAATAGTGTGAGGTGTTTGGAGAAGTGTAAACAGTTTGAAAGGAGCACATGTTGGGGTGCGGAGAGAGAGATGGGATCCAAGAAAGGCCATAAAGGGCAGGTCACAGAGAGCCCTCGGGCAGCTCACAGAGTTGAGCTTGTCCCTGGAGGATTTTAAACAGGGCACAGACGTGTCCAGATTGACAATTGAGCATGCTCACTCTGGCAACAGATGGGATGGAGTAGAGTGAGCCAGGCTGGAGGCAGGAAGATCGTCAGAAGCCCGCTGTGGGAGAGCGCACAAGATTTGACTGTGGTGCCAGCTAAGAAAACAGCAGAAGTAGAAAAAAATACCACTTTGCAACCTCCAATTCAGGCACAGATCATCCACAGATGCTGAGATATTCACGTGGTCTCAAAGAATCATCCTCACAGAATAATTACAAAGGGGGAAAACTGTACTTTGCAATGGACAGACCTGGTGGCCACTTGCTTAGCAAGAAATCAAACTGAATATCAGTATCAACTACAGTGGGGCATTTTCATGTCACCTGTCTTCTGAATGATGTAATAAAATTCAGAACGTGTTCTACATTGTTATCTCTTCAAAGATGCCTCATCTAATCACAGCGAAATTATCAGACAAATTCAAGATGTGGGCAATTATGTAAGAAAACAGTACTAAAAAAAAAATCAGTGCCATAGAAAACAGCCCAAATCGAAAGGATACTGCTTAAAATTAGAAGAAGAAATTAAGGAGACCCACACCACATTATAAACATAACCCTTGATGACTTTCTTGGTCAAAATCTGAAAATAGTTGTAAAAGACATACTGAGAACAATTGGGGTAAATTTGAATATGAACTAATATTAGATAATTAGTAGGTGTGATAATAATGTTGTGGTTATGTAGGAAGAAGCTCTTTATTCTTAGGTCATGTTCAAGAATTTAGGATTAATTTTCATGATATCATCAACTTACTTCCAAATAGTTCAGGAAAATGTGTTATGTCTATGTATAGGAGTCCTGAAGGTGCAGTAGTTAGGTGCTAGGCAGCTAACAGGAAGGTTGGTGATTTGAATTCATAAACCACTCCATGGGGAAAATATTTACGTTCTTGGAAACCCCATGGTTCTGTTCCACTCTGTTATAGAGGATTGATATTATTTGGAATTGGACTTAATGGCACTGGGTTTGATTTTGGTTGGCAGCACCATAATAAATGGAGGAGACTGAGATTGTTAACAATTTCAGCTTGCTTGATTCCACAATCAACACTCTTAGCACCAGCAGTTAGGAAACCAAAAGGCGAATTGAATTAGAAAAATCTGCTGTCAGGGACCTCTCCAGGGTTCTGAAAAGCAACGCTGTCAGTCTAGAGACTAAGGTGATCCTGATCCAGACCACAGTCTTCACAATTACTTGCTATGCATCAGAGAGCTAAACATTGACCAAGGATGATAGAAGAAGAATGGATGTCTTTGAATTATGGTCCTGGAGAAGAGTATTAAACATATTGTGGACTGCCAAGAGAACCAACAGATCTATCCTAGAGAGGGTGAAACCAAGCTGCTCCTTGGAGACAACGATTTTATTTTATATTTTAATGAAAGTTTATCAAGAACTTGTGTTTCTATTAATTCATTATTGCACATTTTCCTCCCTGTCCTCCCCATCCCAGCTCACTTTTTCTTTTGGAAAAAAAATTATTTCAATGTTATACAGCCCCACCTCCATGCCACTTTACTATGCAACTCTTATTCTGGACTCTTGTCATGCCAATAATACCTAATCATGTATTTCTTTTATATAGTTCTCCCTCTCATCTGTTTCAATGTCATATATATTATTTATCCCCTCTTAGTTTCCTCCCAATCCCCTTAACAGTCCTGTTCTATAACAGTGGCATTATGCAATATTTGTCTTTTTGTGACTGAGATATTTCACTCAGCACAGTATCCTCCAAGGTCACCCATTTTGCACAATATTTCATAAGTTCTTTGTTTTTAGTGCTGCATAATATTCCATTGTGTGAATATACCACAGCTTCTGTATACATTCGTTTGTTGATGGGCACTTGGGTTGTGGAGGCAAGGATTTTAAGGATCTGTCTCACATACTTTGGTCATATAGAGAGGAGGAGCCAGTCTTTGGAGAAGGATATCATGGTTGTAAGAGTCAAGGGACAGCATAGGAGACAAAAACCCTGGATGAGAGGAATTGACACAGTAAGTGGGGTAATGAAGGTAGGTGTGTCAGAGACAGTGAGATCGGCTCAGGGTAGAGCGGACTTCAAAGCTATTTTGCCTAGGGTTGCTGTGAGTCGTAATCAACACGATGGCACATAACAACATTAGATGTACGATGTGTGTAGATGCTTTTACATATATATGGAAATATTTCTATATATCTCTACTTATATTTAGATGAGGGAGGTCTGGTGTCCTAGTGGTAAGGAGTTGTGTTGCCAGCCTGAAGGTATGTGGCTCAAATCTACCGGCTGCTTTATGGGGGAAAAGATGGACAATCTCCTCTCTAAAAACCCTCTGGTGGGTCAGACAAGAGTTGTCCCGGCCCGGGGTATCTTTTCAACGGGGACCCTGGGAGGGGAAGAACGACAGATTCCAATAGTCTCAATTTTATTGAAAGCACTTACAGCTTATATACAGGAGCACAATGGGGGGAGTGGAAAGGAGAAGTAAGGTAACTTAGCAGGGCATTCCCAGTAAACCAAAACCTATCCTCCCAGGGTGGGGCAACATGTCCAGACATGTCCTTAGAGAATTACAAAATGGCTTCAGCTAGGTTGAACTAGCAGCCCCCAACAGATCCTGTTTTCATAATTATTTGAAGACTGCAAAAGCGCAACAGGATTACCTTTGGTGCTCTCCTGTTTGACCATGTATGAAACCGGTGCCTGTCTTAGGCTGGACACCGCACCTACTGATCTTACCCGTCATGGGCTAACCCAGCAGCTACGGTGGGGTGCCTGTCTTAGGTTGAAACAGAGGCTGGTGTCTCTTATCCGTCTCTGGCTGCCCGGTTTATTAGCCTGTATCATCAAGGATTTTCTTTATCGGCCATTTGCAGTCTTTTATAATGGACTTGTATGGGACGGGAGGCTATGGATTCGACCTGCAGATTGATAAAGTCTGTAAGCCTCTGAATTGCCCAGGGGCCATACCCTCCCCAGTCAGTGCATGAGGAGTAATGAACTTGGCTGGACTGATTTATTTCTTTTATAGGGGGCATAAAATTTTTATTATACTTTGCTACACTTTGTGACCTTAATAGAATATTAGGTACAGAACAATAATTAGATTCTGGTTTTAAGCAACAAAACATGCACACTTTAATTACACAAGGGATATTGAATTAAATGTCCTCTTATAAATTCCATGTCAACTATTTTAGATTTTCTAAAACAATGCTTTCAATCAGCTTGTGTTATCCCCCTCCTCCATAAGCAAGTATAGAACTTTCATCTCTAGTCTCCATATTGCTTTTTGTTGAAATTTATGGGCAAGATATAGCTCCATAGACGTGGATGGAAACACAAGTCTGACAAGTAACATCAGCATCAGGACTATAAGTGCCTGGGTTACACACGACACAACAGGTAGCACAATTACTGTGTACAGCTTCATTTTTTCCAAATCCTGGACGACAGCTATCCATACGTCCTACTTGCAAACTGTGATCAATAAAACGCATAGCTGGTGCAGTTTTATTAGGGCCTTGGTGGAAAATATTTCCTAGGTTTCGAAAAAATTCTTCTATTCGATCTCTTGCCTGGAGGATATGGTAATTCGTGAAATCTTCACAGTCAACAGACTGGTTGCATGTAGCTTTCCATCCTGGTGCAAAAGGATTGACTTTAAAGGTTATAAATAACTCATTAATAAGGCTATCTTTTGGAATTTTAACAACATGACATTTATACGATGGTTCTATGACATGGCATGCCAAATTAGAAATTAAATGATCCAAGACTTTCGTCAGGACCCTAAGAAACAGGTCGCTATTTCTTCCATCACATGACATTGTGGCAAAACGTCCAGACATCTCATATGAATAATCAGGTTCCCGATAGGCAAAGAGTAAAAATTCATATTTTTTTGTTACCGTCTTTTCTTCCTGAATTTCTTCTCCGATAGACTTAAAGGACAAATTACATGTGTAAGGTCAAGATGAAGACGGTGTAAAATTTTTCACCTCTAGATTCCCTGTGTTAGTCATATTTATTTGACTGTTTCCTGTCAATTTCTTTTCATTAGGTCCAATCCATTCAAAGACGGGGTCTATTATTTCTCTGCCAGCATGTTTTAAGTCCATACAAACAAGTATGGGACTATTGTGGTATAATTTTACATATATTTTCACTGAGTCTCCTTGTCTGCCATAAATGAAGCCTCTCTTACTGTACAAGGTAGAACAGGGCCACACAACTGCGCTAAGGTAGTACAGCACAGCGGAGAGGAAGGCCCACGGTCGCATCACGGCTTAGAGGAGGCATCGAGGGGTGGGCACCTTTGTACCTGAGCCCCAGCTCAGCGTCCCCCCATTTCTTCGGTACAGAGCTCCCCTACCCACCCATCGCTCCAGTACTCTGGACTGATTTCTTAAGCACAGGCAGATCCAATGGCAAAGCAGAAGTGCTCTCCAAGATAACCAGCTTTAGGTTCTCAAGCATTAAGGTTAATACTGGAAAGGGATTTGGGGTACAGGGCAAGTCTCCTCAAAAACTGAAGTCAACTGGGTCTCCTCTTTCGCAGTTCAGGGGTAAAGAGTATGTTCGGTTTCTTTCCTCCCCAGACTGGAGGAAAATATGTACATCAATGTGCACCAGTGATCAGAAAACCCCCAGAAATCCATGCAAGTGGGAACTGAGGGGGCTGGCTCCTCATCAGCTGGGGAACGGAGGAAATG